AACGCAAGGACAAACACTGGCAACCCTTGGGATTCTTCTCTCACAAGCTAAGTACTTCACAGAAGAAATACAGCCCGTACGACCGAGAGTTACTTGCAGTGTACGAGGCCATTAAGTACTTTCGGCATATGGTGGAAGCAAGAAACTTTACGGTATTCACTGACCACAAGCCTCTCACGTTTGCTTTCTCGTTAAACCGAGAAAAATGTTCACCTAGGCAGTACCGCTACCTTGACTTTATCGCTCAATTCACGACAGACATAAGATTTATACCTGGACGGGAGAATGTCGTCGCTGATGCTCTGTCGCGTGTTGAAGAGGTTACAACCGCCATTGATTTTCAGTCTCTTGCACGATCTCAGGAACACGATCCAGAGCTGCAAGAGCTGCTTAAAAATGGTACTGCCCTGAGGCTACAAAAAATTAAGCTAGACTCCAGCAGTAAATTTATTTTATGTGATACTACACTACCTACACTTCGACCATATGTAACACCCGAATTCCGCAAACAAGTCTTCGAATCGCTACACAACTTACACCATCCAGGAGGTTCTGCTACTGTGCGACTGGTGACACAAAAATTTGTTTGGCCAGGGATTCGTAGAGACAGTAGAGAGTGGGCTAGGCAATGTTTGAAATGCCAAGAAACTAAAATATCCCGTCACACCACCTCTCCACCTTCCTCTTTCCTTCCCCCGTCCTCTAGGTTCTCTCACATACACCTCGACATCGTAGGGCCCCTAACTCTGTCCAATGATTACAGGTACTGCCTCACCGTCATCGACAGATTCACACGATGGCCTGAGGCATATCCCCTACGAGATATCACTGCCGAGACGTGCGCTGCAGCCCTCGTGTCTGGCTGGATCGCCAGATTTGGTTGTCCTGAGCGGGTGACCACAGACCGTGGTCGCCAATTCGACTGCCAACTCTTCCGGGCCCTCACCGCATTGGTTGGCGCGAGCCACTTCCGCACCACTGCCTACCATCCTGCGGCCAATGGTTTGGTCGAACGTCTTCATCGCCAACTCAAGGCGGCGATTATGTGTCACGCTCCTGCTTCACAGTGGACCGAAGCGCTTCCACTGGTACTTCTGGGCATGCGAAGTGCCTTTAAGGAAGACCTCCAATCTTCATCTGCCGAACTGGTTTATGGTGAGCCCCTTCGCCTACCCGGTCAGTTCCTGTGCCCAGACGACGACTATAAGGTTGCTGACGTCACCCAGTACGCGACTCGTCTTCGCGCGTACATGGCGAAGCTATCTCCCCGTCACACATCCTGGCACTCAACAACATCCTTCTACATCCCACGCGACCTTAACACTTCATCGCATGTTTTCGTGCGTCAAGATCGCGTGAGACGAGCGCTGGAACCACCATATACTGGCCCCTACAAGGTTGTCAACCGGCAACCTAAATATTTTACTGTGGATGTAAACGGCAAGACGGCCAATATATCTATTGACAGGCTGAAGCCTGCCTATATGGCGAAGGAAGCCCAAGTTCCAGCACAACCAGCTCAGGAGGACATCAAGCGGACTTCCAGTGGCAGAAGAGTCCGTTTACCAGTTTTTTATCGCCCGTAGTCACGGTCTGGCCGGGGGGAATATGTGGCGGAAGCTTATTCCGACACCGTCACTGGATGAGCGGAATCGCTCCGCTCATGCCACTTAGACCACAACCAAGAAACATACGATGTTTACTGCAGACGGCTGGCGCCAATGCGCCCGCGCACCGATATCGGCGCGCCACCACCACATAACGCTTTCGACTTGCTTGGAGCTTATACGCGTCGCGCTAACATATGTTATTCGTATACCTGTGCTTATTTTGTATGTGCTAAATTCTCCTGTATTTACTTTGCTAATATAATTTCATTTCTTCCTTAATAATAATATTATTCATTCTGCTTTCAAACCTTCATTCATTCTTCCTACTTACTATCGCTCGCTTACTTAGTGCTATCACGCGGGTTCGATACCCGAACGTTGTTAGTGTAGGCTAACCTAGCCGAGCACTACAAAGCTACTGCAAAGATTTGGCATGCAGAATTGCAAAGCTGCAGTAACCCCAATTGTTAAAGATAACGTGCTAGCTTCGAAAGACAATACGGATATCCATGACTTTCCATATCGACAGGTTGTTGGAGCATTATCCTATTTGATGGTTGGCACTAGACCTGACATTGCTTTTGCAGTTGGAATAGTGTCACGGAAGCTAGATAATCCAACATCAGAAGATGTAGCGAGAGTTAAGCGAATTCTACGCTATGTTAAAGGCACCCTAGAGTATGGTATAACATACAAATCTTCCACTGTAGAACGAGGCTTAAGATGCTACAGTGATGCTGATCATGGTGGTGATGAGACGACTGGACGCTCCACCAGCGGCATGATTTGCCTCAACGCCAATGGTGCAATAGCATTGCAGAGTAAACGTCAGACTACTGTCGCAATATCTTCTACAGAAGCTGAAATAATTGCAGCAAGTGAGGCCGCCAGAGAAGTTATATGGCTTAAACGGATCATGAACTTCATGCAGAGTAATACTCAGAAGGAGATTACACCACTCTTTATAGATAATGAATCCGCTATAAGATTAGCTTATGATCCACCTTACGAAGCACACCAGCGAACAAAGCATATAAGGCTTAAACATTTTTTCGTAAGGCAGTGTGTCCTAGAAAAGGATATAAAAGTTGAGAAGGTTGATACCAAGAATCAACTGGCAGACTTCTTGACAAAGCCATTATTTAAGCCTAGGCTTCTAGAACTATGTAAGCTAGCTGGAGCCTCCACTTAACATACAGTTGCTTGAAGAGGAGACGGAATGTTAAGAAGGTTATATACATCAGTTACAAATTGTCAATCTTTAATATGATGATGTTACCTAGCAACTGTTGTTAATTTTGTAGTCAAGAATAAATTTGTCAATAACAGAAACTTGCTTTCCATATTATATTTTATTTTATTATATTAAAGTCATTGAGTTGGCGAAAATATCAACATTAATAAATATTTTGTTGTAAGTATCTAACATGCGACGCATCGGCGAGCGGATACCAGTGTTGGTACGACATTTGTTCACTGAAAAGTATTTACGTTGGACATTTTCAATGATATCTACATATTTGTTGTAGAAGGGGTTCCAGATCGGCACTGCATACTCCAATTGTGAGCGAACTAATGATCTATATAGATGCAAGTAGGAGCAAGGTCTTTTGAAGTCGTGGGTAGATCTCATAATGAACCCGTAAAGCTTATATGCTTTGTTGACTATGTTGTCGATATGAAGATTTAGGCAGAGTTTCGAGTCGAGTGTCACACCGAGATCTGTTATAGAAGTGACCTTACTAAGGGGAATATTGCAAAGTTTGTAGTTAAAACTAATAACATTTTTATTTTTTGTGTAATTTAAGTACTTACATTTGGGTAAGCTTAAGTAAAGTTTGTTATTATAACAGTAGGGTGTATTTCGGGCCGCGGCCCGTCAGGCATGATCACCTCGCCACCTCGAGTCAGCTGATTGGCGTCACTAATCTCTAGGTTAAATCGATGAGATAATGATGATACGAGTAGTTAAGAGTGGTAGTTATACTCTAAGGACGATTTGAACGTTAATTTGCGAAAATATTTGTTATTACATTATAAAATTTTGTACATAAATAGTGGTGGTTGTAGAAAGCTCGCTCTCGAAGACTTGGTAGTTTTTCTAAATACCAAATCCTTATCAAGTAACTGATTTTTTTTGTAATGTAATGTAACATATACACAAGTAGGGACACTCAGTATCTAGTGCTACCTCCTCTCGCTATCGAAACTGCCTCCAACCGTCTGTGCACACTTTTCATTAAATCATCAATAAAAGTTTGTGGGATTTGGTCCCATTCTTCTGATTTTTCTATTGTGTGTTTGGATACCTTTTTGAAAAAGGCGCTGCTTTTTCAAAAAGGTATCCAAAAATTATGACAGCAGTGTGGGGCCAAGTATTACCATGCAGTAAAAGAAAATTATCTACTATGTATGGAACACTTAAGTAGATAGGCAATTAGTTCTAAAATGTCTGTTTTATGGAATAGTAGGCAAACAAGGAGGCGGGTCACCTGATGGAAAGCGAGTACCGCCGCCTATGAACGCCCGCAACTCCGGTTCGGCAATACCACAACCGATAAATTTTTCAGCGGGTTGGCGCACCACTGTAAGGATCTCTTCTGACAATGATACACTGAGCGTATCTTTCCCCTGGTCAACTCCACACTTTGAACTTTCCATCATGCAGCTTGAGTCAAAACTTGGACTCATCAGTGAACACTACTATTTCCCAATTATTGTCATTGCAATTGTGATGAGAGCGAGCGAAGTTAGTTTAACCTTCTTTGCTCTCGGCATCACGTCTGTATACTCTCCTTTGTGTCGGTATTAATTTATATTGTAAAAAAAAATATTTTATAAAAAATAAGTTGATTTTAAGCGATACCATGTTCGATTAAAGTTGCAGCTTCGGACACTTGAGCTACAATGAGGTCCAGCATGATCACTTCAATCTTTTAAATGGTCTGTGAGTATCACCACGGCAATGAAAATTTGAAAAAAATAAAACGAGTGTGCTTTAGGCCACATGACTGAAGTAAAACTTGGCTTGGCTTGGCTATGAGCAAAAAAGAGAAAAAAATGTGTGCTCGCACCTCTCTCTCTTACCCCTACAGTAATATCACAAAACACATCATATTTATTAATTAATATAACTCACTTTAAGGAATCGATATATTTCGATTGAGTACTCCGACTTTTTAAAATACGAGTTATTGGTAATGGTGGCAACCCTGGAGAAAGACATTTTATGTAAATGGCCGACGTACAAGCTAAACGGTATTGAAGACGCCGCTCGTAAAACATATTTAAGTGTTGTGCGAATTGCTGCAAATTATATACTTGTATTATTTACTTACACCCGTGTTTTGTGTTAATAGTGCCTATTAGTGGTTAGTTTTCATTGTAACCATGTTGGGGGCCGGAGACAGTAGCTATATTGTCAAGCTACGCGGATTGCCTTTCTCCACATCGGTGGAAGACGTGCTAGATTTTCTTTCTGGCGTAAATGTGGTCAACGGCAAAGAAGGTAAAGTTTTTATTGGTACAAATAAAAAACCACCTTTGTTGTTTTTAATTTTAGTATAAATTAATGTTTGCTCTAGCTCCCATGTCATAGCTACATATTACTGAAGTGTTGGTTTTGGTTACATACTAACATACATTTTATTGTTATTTAGAATTTTGCTAAGTAAGTGACTAAACCGCAGTCGGGATTATAACCTACCGATTTGATAAAAAAAAACAGAAGCAAGTGCTTTAAATAAAAACTACACATCTTGCTAACGACTGATCTCGTGATACATATCTTGGAATACTTGATCCCTTGCAAGTTGTGAATTTCTATTTCTGGAGGTCAATGAACTTTAACCTTTAAAATACCGTCGCCAGATCATCTGTCTGAAAATTGCAAATGGACTGTATTCTTGTGTGCGAAAACTGGAATTCGTAATGGAATTTATATTACACACTATCCACAGCCCGCGGATTCGCTCCTGTGATTATTTCGTGTTTGTTACTTTGAAAATGATGAACTGCCATACAATCGTTCATCCCTTATTTTATCCCCTCTTAGGGGTAATATTCCTTTCTTAGCCTACTAAGCGCCTATGCTTACAACATAAAAACCATCAGCTGTCAAAATTTCAAATTTGCGTTGCTCAATCAGTCAGTGAGGGCAACTACTTATATGTATAGATAGATCTCTTTTAGGGTCAAAATAGTTTTTTTTTTAAAGACATTTCCCGCATTAGGAAAATATCCTGTGTCACAGGAGACTACACATACATGAAACGGACATAAAGAATACCTAGAGTCAGAACAACTATTTATGGATCACACAAAGTGCCATATGGGGACGGGATCAACAACACTCAGCATAGTAGTAAGTGGCGAGGTGACTGTGTAAACCACTATTCCATTCGCGTACAGTCATATTCAAATGTTTAAACACAATGAGTATAACATTTTGATTATATGTTTTTTGCATCTTACATTTAACTTAACTTAATTCTTTAGGTGTACATTTAACTGAAGTGCGTCCTGGCCGGCCATCGGGAGAGTGTTTTGTAGAAGTTGAAAGTAATCAAGATGTTGAGGAGGCACTCAAAAAAGATAAGGACATCATGGGGAAAAGATACATTGAAGGTTAGTCATTTTACCATAATCAAAGTGATTTTTAAACTATCCAACAAGTACAAAGAGGTATAATATTGACTGAACTGAACAGCTCAAGAGTATTCATCAGTTAATGACAACTTGATAGAAAAACTTATCGACTGACTTGTTGTGGGTGACTGAACCTTGGGGAGTCTTATATCCAGTAGTGGATGTTGGCTCCGATGCTGATGATATTATGTAAATCTTTAAGTTCCTCTTTTACCTTTTAAGCTAAACAAATGCTTTTTTTTCCCTTTTTGTACAAACAGCTATTTATGTAAACACTGTAGTTGAAATAGTAACAAATAAAAAGGAGTCCCCTTTAGAAGTTTTGGTCAGGTGAGCTCGACATGTGTGACTAGACATGTTCTGTAGACACAGTGTGGCAACATATTTTCAGGGTCCACTTATGTGGACTTACACAATGTGGAGTATATATGGAATTCTTGTTATGTTGGGACCACATATCACGAAGTAATAATTAATAATATTTCGGACATCTGACACACGACACCATCTAGTTTCAAATTAAGTAGAGCTTGTACTATGAAAGCTAGATTGACTGATAGAATACTTGTATACTTTTTTTCCGACTGGGGAATCGAACCCGAGACCTCAGCACAGCAGTTGCATATGCTGTTACAACTGAGGTAGTCCATATATACTCAAATATTCCTGTTCTGAAATATTTTATCTTGTAAAAGAATATGTTACTATTCTAAAAATATTCTCAGTTCTAAATAATATTATCATAATTTATTCTTACAATACACATTACTCATAATCTTATGTAAACATTATTTAATGAGAATTATACATAATGGAGTAACAATTTTAAGAATCTTTAAAATTGTTACTACGTTATGTATAATTATAATTTGTCCGTGTAGTGACGGATTAAGAATACGGAATGTCACTACCCCAATTCATCCCGTGGGTGTCGTAAGAGTCGACTAAGGGCGCAAAACAACGCAGGACACCAGCACCTCAAAAAGAAGGAAAACTTCTGGCCAGCGTGGTATAGTAGGCCTAAACCTCCTTTGTAAGGAGAGGCCTATGTCCAGCAGTGGACTATTAAAGGCTGTCGATATATGTATAACTAGCTGACCCGCGCAACTTCGTCTGCGTCTCTCAATAGTAATAAATTTTCTCCGTTTTTGAAACATTCTTCATTGGTGCTCCGCTCCTATTGGTCTTAGCGTGATGATATATAGCCTATAGCCTTCCTCGATAAATGGGCTATCTAACACTGAAAGAATTTTTCAAATCGGACCAGTAGTTCCTGAGATTAGCGCGTTCAAACAAACAAACATACAAACTCTTCAGCTTTATAATATTAGTATAGATTCTCATCTAGGCATTTATGAAGAAGATATGTAAGAAGTTATTATGAGTCTCACACTTATGATTCAACATTTATTTAAGAGCTACTTACATATAAAATAAATTGATGGGCTGTTGTAATTTATTAACAATAAAAACTATCAATAAATCTTACCATCACTTCATTTCAATGCATAACTCAGTCTAAACACTTATTTAGTACTGAGACTAATATCAATAATTGTAAACTGTTACGTAGTATCATCCCTTGCCGTGTTGCCATGGAGGTTTAATGACAGTAATCTAAAAACAAATATTTAGTATGCATAGACAATTTGTGGTTCTAGAACCTTTTTTTTTCGGTGCGGAAATACCCTCGGATACCACTTACCGGTGGCCGGACTCGAACCGACTAAAACCGCACGCCGTCTCAGGTACTAGTAGTCGGGGAACCAGGTGTACCCTAGAAAGGAAATCCCTGGTGCCCCGACGTACCTCGGGCCATCTACGGCGGGTAGACGACCCCTCCTGTGTGGGCACCCCCATGTTCCCTCTGTGCTCCCGGAGGGGCGCGCGCGCTTCGCAACGCGCTCGCCGCCACCCCAGCCTGCTTCTTCTAGGGTAACAGATAGCCTCACCTGTCACCCCAGGCCTGCGCTTATGGAGGACGGAGGTCGTTATGCGACCTCCGGCGCCTGAGTCGTGTGCGGTACCTGACCCGTTCTCGAGCCTGGCGGGCCGGGAGAGTTCTAAACCTCTCCCGGTCCCGCTCCGCCATCTCCTTCGCAAGCATAACTTGCTCGCAGAAGGAGACGGCAGAGTTCCACGAACTCTCGCTCCGCACGATAGCCACAATCAGCTTGTGGCACTGTGCCAGCGTGTGGAGCGCCGTGTCCACGGTCCGACCATCGCAGTGGTGGCACTCAGGCGTTGGCTCCTTGCGGATCAGACACAGGTGATCCCCGAAACATCCTTTCCCAGTGATCACCTGCGTCAGTCGGTATGAGAGGGTCCCGTGATGCCTCTCGAGCCAATCCTGCATAATGGTTCTCGAACCCTATCTCAAGCTTGCTACGTTTACAAGGGAGTACAAAGAGGTATAATATGTTAGAAAATTCTTAAACGGATAAAAAAAAAGCATCAGTAGTTTATGGTCTGATGTAATTATATTGATGATACCTATTTATTTAAAAACAAAGAAAAGGTAAAAAAGGACACTAAAAAAAGAAAAAAAAATTGTTAACTTCTAAAGATACGAGGGCGGGTCAATAAGTCCGTGACTTTTGGAATAAAACACAGATTTTTTGATAAATAAATCATTTTATTTTTCAACGTAGTCTCCCTTGAGCTCTATACACTTTGTCCAACGCTTCTCCAACTTTTTTATCCCTTCCAAAAAATATGATTTGTCGAGATCCTCAAAATAGGCCTTTGTTTGCGAGATGACTTCATCATTGGAGCCATTCAATGACGATTTGAAAAAAAACCGACCTCATTTGGCCAAGAAAAAAGTGGCTAGGTGGAAAAAGATAGAAAGAAGAAGTCCAATAAGTTGGCATAATATTCCCCATTGATTGTTCTTCCCTTTTGAAGGTAGTCAATGTGGATTATCCCGCGTGCATCCCAAAAGACAGTCGCCATAACTTTATTGGCTGACAAACCCACCTTGGCCTTCTTTGGCGCCGATTCACCCTTAGAAACCCACTGTTTTGACTGTTGTTTGGTCTCTGGTGTGTTGTGATGGATCCATGTTTCGTCCACGGTTACAAAACGGCGCAAAAACTCCTCCATATTGCGATTAAACAACGCCAAACCTTCCTGTGAAGTTGTTACACGATTGCGTTTGTGGTCGACTGTGAGCAATCGCGGCACCCATCTTGCGGAAAGCTTTCTCATGCCCAAATGAACATTCAAAATTGAAACCACTGAGCCATGCGAGATCCCTATTGCTTCCACAATCTCTTGCACTTTCAATCTTCGGTCGGCCAACACCATATCGTGAATTTTTTCGATAGTTTCGGGTGAAGAGACCTCAACTGGGGCGTCCAGGACGTTCGGCATCTTCAGTGCTTGTACGGCCACAACGAAATTCAGTAAACCACTTTTTTACCATTGAAATCGATGGTGCAGAGTCCCCATAGTATTTATCAAGCTTAGCCTTGGTCTCGGTAATGGTTTTTTTTCGCAAAAAATAATGCTTAATAAGCACACGAAATTCACTTTTTTCCATTTTTTCCTCAAATTACTGGGTAGTCCGATAAAGATAGCTGTCAAACACAAACTAACTGACGCAGCAAGTTCAAATTTTGACAGGAGTCAACTAACAGATGCCTGTTGACAGCAGTAGTGTTGCTTTTTCAGTAAAGAGGTCAGAAATTCAAAAAGTCACGGACTTATTGACCCGCCCTCGTACCTCACTTGTTGAATATTTTAGTTTAGAAGTAGTTAGGACTATATTATGAATATAAATATTAATAGTATTAAAACAATATCACTAAAATACATCTAATTTTGCAGTATTTTCCACTGACCGCCAAGACATGGAGTGGGCTTTGAACGCAATGCGTCAAAGCGAGAATGGTTTCGACGGTATACCTAACGTGTCTGACGACATGGGTATAGTTAAACTTCGGGGTCTGCCATTCGGCTGCTCTAAGGAGGAAATTGTTCAGTTTTTTGACGGTAAGAAAAATAATTAAACAAATTTATACTTGCTTTTTGCAATGGGGTTCTAGGTGAACTCGGTAGCTGTACTGTGGGTAAACCAATTAGAAATTAGTGTTAATATTTAAATTTTTCACATGAAGCTACAAATTTGTCCTTTGATATTTTACTATACTTTCTCTTACTAATATATTGATGAAAATCAACATTGTCTAAATAATGTTTTCTGCTTTTAATACGAGATCTGAGCATGATTGTAACATGTGTAAGCTTGCATGTTACCCACAGTCAGCTACCGCACACCACAAACGCATATAACATGATCTTTATTTGCACGTCGGGTGGGGCAGGACTGACCGTCGCCGCGGACGGGGTCCACTTGCTCTCGGACTACACGGGGCGGGCCTCGGGAGAGGCGTTCGTACACTTCGTTGACAAGGAGAGCGCACAGGAAGCGCTCAACAGGGACAGGGAGAAAATAGGACACAGGTGGGGGGAAAAGTTCTTTATTTTGCGCGTGGCTTGTCAGATACCTCCTGGTGGGGATATAGATTCAAAACAGTAGTTAGATACACATTTTAATATGATAAAACAGTGTGTATTGTCTTTGGTAATTTTATTAGACACTTGGCCCTGGATGCATTGTTAACCCATAGACACTGCAATGCATTTATTTAGGTTATCTAAACCTCACTTACATTACTCCAGCAGAAGCCAACTAGACCACAGCATATACAGGCTATATGTGATAAGAAACCAATTAGTATTTTGCCTGAGAGTGGCAAAACTATTCATTCACTTGACAGTAAATGTAATGTGGTAAAATTCTCCGACATGTAGTTGTGAGTTTTTTATGATGGGAATGTACTGTATAGACGTCTGTTGGTCGTGTGTGTGTGATTAAAATTCCATAGATAGAATATTGGTCTTTATACCCACCTCGAAAGAACAAGCCACGGCCGCAATATTATATTTGGTGTAGTGGGATAAGTATGGGACCTCCTTTGTTATTGGTCTACCACTATGGTTTTGTTTTCTATATTTTACTATTAATGTTTTTGGTTCATTTAAATGAAATTATATCACGGTGAAAAATCATAATGGCCAGTAACAGAATGGTGGGTGTATTAGTTTATTTTTGGGATGTATGAACAACTTATATAAAACAACAGATATTTTATGCTCTCTCAATGCTACCTTTTTGACATATTTTATGTTTCATTTTATGATAATTTTTAACAAAATTGTAACCACTATAAAATGTGTTTTTCATAAAAAATCTCATATCATCACAATCGATTCTAAAGGTGGCATTCAGATAGTACTAGTGATTGGTTATTGAGTTGTCGAAGGTTGGGAGAGCGAGGGGCGAGGGGAGTGCGGGGCGAAGACGAAGAGGGGAAGAGGCACCGGATCTACGTTATAAAAACTGATATTTTAATCTGTGGTACCTTTTATCTTTGCGTTTTTCAGGTTATATTAATGTTAGATTTAAGAAACAATTTTGATTATTTTTTAGTTATGACCTTTAAGATAAATATTTTGTGATTTTCTTTTCAAAGTTGACCAAATTAAAAACTAAATGTAAAACCTATGAGGCGTTCAATTAAATAGAAAAATAAATTGATATGTAAAAAAAACAATGTTCATGATTTGAACAGGTATTACCTAAACTACATTTAACCACTTTAAATGTGAAGAATCTTAATATCTAGACACTGATTTTATTTTGTTAAATTTGGATTAATATTTTAACATATAACATTGAAACAGTCTGAATTATTATACTTTCAGATCTATTAATGTAAAATAATCTATATATGTATTATAAATATTTAAAAGGAAAATATTTTAATAGTGTATTTTATTGCATCAGAAATACTATATCAGCTTGTTATATGGTATTTTAAATGTTTTCCTATTTTGTATCCCTTTAAGTCTTTTTATAGCCCAAGTATGAAATTAACTTATTTTTAATTCAAATGTCTTTACCAGTTATTATTAACTAAATTTTTTATAGAACATTTTATTCAATTTTTCATTCTTTGTATCTTAGGATTATTGATACTTCCTGTAGTTTAAGTCACATAATATATACACTATGTTTATCAACTGAAATACTGTTTAAATATGAATTTTATTATTGAGATGATGAACTTAAAAGTTATAAATGAAGTACCTTAGTTACTTGTACAAAGTACCTGTCATTTTAATGCTATAACTAGAGTATTCGTAACGAGCTGGTACATTAATATGGCTCGAAAATAAATATAGTGTATATATTGTTGGTGTTGTGTTAACGAGACAATTTTTAATATTCACTTCTCCCAACAGATATATTGAAGTCTTCCTGAGCTCAGCGGACGAAGTTCGCGCTTACTCCGCTCGCATGGAGGGCGGGTTCCGCTCCACGCGAGGTTATAGACCCACCCCCTACGATAGGAATGACAGATTCGGAGGTGGGGGCCGCTTCGGTGGCAGAGGTCGAGGGTCTTTCGGTAAGGGTGAGTTTGTTACGGTGATGGTCACAGCTTTTGCTTCTTTACAAAATAAATTACAGGTAATTTAGTGGTTATAAAACTTGTTAAGAGAGCTTGCATGCGGCTATCAGCTTGAAGGGTTAAAAGAAATAAAAAGAGTAAATAATAGTAAAATGTTATATTGTGCGAGCAGGTGGCAGCTATGGCGGCGGGCGCGGCGGGTTCCGGCGCGGGGGAGGGGGGGGCTGCCACTGCGTGCACATGCGCGGGCTTCCCTTCAAGGCCTCGCCGCAGGACATCGCCTATGTGAGCTCCTACATTACTATTTTTATGTTATAGCAAATGTTCAGTTTAGTTCAGATCTTGGTATCACTACAGTCGAGATGGCCCATTGGCCGTCTCGACTGTAGTGATACCAAGATCTCCCAGAAAACCGGTGTTAAGCAAATACCTTGGTTGCTTTTTACTAAAGAGTGAGGTTACCGGAGCCAAAGCCCCCTCTACCCCTGATTCCTGATGGTGGGGAACCCGAAGGAAACGTACTTGTGACTCTTGAGTTGCAGATGTTAATGGGCGGCGATCACTTACCATCAGCTTGTTTGCCCCCCTATTGAGAACCCAAATTCACAATCATGTTTTAATAAAAATATTAAGCCACATATTCTATAAATCCATTTCTTCAACATTGCAGTTCTTCAAGCCGATCCGGCCTGTGAACATCAACATATTGTACGACAACAGTGGCAGACCTTCGGGAGAAGCCGATGTAGAGTTTGAGTGCCATGAAGATGCCATGAGGGTGAGCATGTATTTTTATTTGTCATTGTTGTTATTATTCCTGCATCATCCTGGATGATTTGCAAATTTCGGAGATTGGGTGTTTTCTATCTATAATATGTATATATTTATAGAAAAAAAAAGTATATAAGTATTCCATCAGTCAATCTTTCATAGTAAAAGCTCTGCTCAGTTTGAAACTAGATGGCGTTGTGTGTCAGATGTCCCAAATATTATTATTGTCCTTTTTAACTAACACATGTACTATTGCACGGATGCCGTATGGTTTAAGCGTATGATGGTTTAAGCGGTCGCCACGCCACTTCCTATTGCGCCGAGTGTAGTGGGTTCAAACCCCACATGGGACAACACTTTATGTTATCCACAAATTGTTGTTCTGAGTCTGGGGGTATTTTGTGTCCGTTTCATGTATGTTTGTAAAATCCACCGCGACAGAGGATTTATTGCTAGTGCGGGTGTTGCCCTAACTAACTAAAAAAAAGAAGTTTTTTTTTTTTAATTTGGAAAAACCGGTGTTAAGCAGTTCTTTCGTTGCTATACAAGGAGTCACTAAGGTAAGGATTTATTTATAGTACGGGAGTTGTCCTTTAAAAAAAAAAATATACGTTCGGCAGGCGATGCGACGCGATAAGAACAACATGGACCATCGCTACATCGAGCTGTTCCTCAACTCGGCGCCGGGCGGCGGCGGCGGGTTCAAGCCCAACAGGAGCTTCCGCAACTACTGAAGCCCACGCTCCTCGCACTCCTTGGTAAGCGGGTAGCTGTGGGGATGCCGCTCAAAACACTGTATATATACCCTCATATTGTATGTAACACTCATACTGACATTTTCATTAAACGTAGAAAATGGGACTGTACTGTTTTAATCAAATATAGCTCACGTAGGACCCGTAATATTTGTGGCCGTGGTGCTTCCCTGTTTAGAAGAGTGTATGCCTATTTTACTTCATTTTGTCTCCCGCTTTGCTAAGGTGGGAAGTGGATTTACTGTATTTCCAACTTCTCCAATTTTCTTCTGATTAATTTCGATGCGGGTTCCAAGACAGTTTAATTTCTTCCTGGGACTTCCCGAGTGTCATAACTCGGTGTGTTCGTGGGTCCTGCTGCTGTGGATCCTGGTGTACAGGAGTTACAGTGGTGGGCGTGTGGGTGGGATTGGTCCCAATGTACTGTTTTAATTACATGATGTTTTTCATAAAATCTGAGTTACTGTTGACCCAGTGTGGTTTGACTTAGCAGATGTCCAAAGAGGTTGTCTTAAAACATGGTTTATTGACGGGCCTGTTGGTCTAGTGGTTAGTGACCCTGACTGCTAAGCCGGTGGTCGTGGGTTCGATTCCCACCCAGGACAAATATTGTGTGATGAGCACGATCATTTGTTCTGTGTCTGAGTGTAATTTATCTATAATATGTATGTATTTAAGAATATATAAGTATGTTTATCAGCAGTCTGGTTACCATAGTACAGGCTCTGCCTAGTTTGGGATCAGACGGCCGTGTGTGAGATGTGTGAGGTATATTATTATTATTATTATATTATATATTATTATTGATAACTGAAAACCCGCGCAACTTCCGTCTTTCAATAGGAATAAATTTTTCCAATATTTTTCATTGATGTTTGACTCCTATTGGTCGTAGGGTTATGTTATGGCGTAGTGGTTTAAGCGGTCACCTCGCCGTTTCCTACTGCGCTGAGTGTTGAGGGTTCGATCCCCACATGGAACCACACTTAACCACAAATTGTTGTTCTGAGTCTGGGTGCTCTTTGTGTCCATATCATGTATGTTCTAGATAGTATGATATATTCCTAATGCGGAAGCTGTCTCTTTAAAAAAATATAGCCCTCCTATATAAGTGCCTCCTGGTTCCTGAGATCAGCGCATTCAACTGTTCAGCTTTATAATTTTAGTATAGATTGTTTCCTTAAAACCATTCTGGTACATTAAAGAAGAACTACCGAAATAAAACAATTAGGTATATTCGTATCGCACATAGTCACTTCTTGATTACTTTGTTAACGTTTAATAATAATTTGATTACTTTAATACGAATTTGACGATGGCAAATCGATTAGTTAAGCTAAGATCACATAATATATTTCCATTCTTGATATAAACATGTTCGGCCACAGCCTTCGTGATGGTTTGTTTGGAAGTTCAATTTAAACATTCATAGAACAATGTAGGATATATTTCAAACATTGCCAAGGGAATTTATATTTATAATAATGTTCTGACACACACACTGTCCGTGTGGTGACCGAATAAGAATACGTAATGTCACCACCCCTATTCATCCCGTGGGTGTCGTAAGAGCCGACTAAGGGAACAAACTACGCAGGACAACAGCACTGCAAAGAGAAGGAAAACTTGAAACAAACCCTATACCAACCCATCTGGTATAGTAGGCCAAAACCTCCTTTCTAAGGAGAGGCCTATGTCCAGCAGTGGACTGTTATAGGCTGTTGATGATTGATGATGATGATGACATTCAACATTTTTATATTAAGACACTTGCATGTTTCATCCTTAAATTCTGTACTATGGCAACCAGACTAGTGGAGAACATACTTATCTTTCACACAAATAAGTAAAATTAAAGTGTCTGTTTGTAATGTCAAAATAATAGTTTTTTTTTATGCTCACACGGTTATTTGCACAATACCTAAGCCTAAAAATCAAACGGCTGGACCGATTTTCATAATATTTCACTACCAGGTAGCTGTCTATATAAGGAGTAACAGCCTATTTTTCCTCTTAGAAAAATCCTATAGAATTTTGCCCTATCCGGAAATCGAACCAACTATGGCATCGCTTTTCAAAGGCACAGGTACCAGCTAGTACATTTATAAATATACCCAGACCAGTGTCTGGTTTTTTTTATAAATAATCGTGAGCTAATAACACAACTTATTGTCTTGAGTGGAAAGTGGAACACACGTCGTCTGGCCCAGCAATCACTGTCACGGCCAGCAAGAACCAACCATAGAGTTTTGTTTTATTTTTTATTACAAGTTTACCTCAAAATTAATATTTACATAAGTATTAGTGCTAGTTTTATATTCAGGCAGCATTCACAGCTACCCTCTTATTAAGAATTTTCTATACGAAGTACATCTCTAGTAGTTAGTATATATTGTATCTACATTATAAAGTCTAGGGTATATCTCAGTTTTGTCCGTTAGTTCGTAATGGAAATATAAAAGGCATGGTAAAGGCTTAGGGGGGCCTGTCAGTAACGCTCTCGAAAACAGACGGACGATGGTATTAACCCAGATAAGCCTACTGTCCCATATGTAGGACGGTAGAAATAAAAAATATTATAACTCACGTACATATTAACAGAATATATTTAATGTTTTTGTAGTGACAAGCTAATGTGCTATTGAAATAAAAATTAAAAAGGTGCAGTTATAATATATTATCCATTTTATAAATATTTCATTGAAAAGTATATCTAAAAGTGCATTGCATCAGTAGGCTTATCTGGGTTAATGACACTTTGGATAAAGGGTCAGAAAAAAAAACATCTTAAAAATACAATGTTTTCGAAACAATAATCTCACAAAAAGTACATCACTATCATGAAATATTTGAATTAATCTGTACCATGTATGTCATAGCCATTATCTTTCCCCCCACTTTCAGCCAAGTCACCGAATAAACTTTATTATTTAATTGAGATGGGCAATTTTACTTAAAATAGTAAACATATTTATAATTGGACTCAGCGCAATGCCCAAGTTTTTATTTTTAATCTTTATTTTATACGCCATATTGATAAAAATTGTTTGACTTTACCTAGATTTTACGTATGTTTCTTGAGATATTAAAAATTATAAGTTTCTCATAATTTGACCTGTCAAATTCTGCGCAGCTCCACCGTTGTACGGTCAGCAAAAAAGGCGCTTAACATTAGTATTTTTGTTTAAGTAAGCTAAGATATAGGTATCTACAAGACTCCGGTTAATCGTCGAATTTTTTAACTCTTCATAAATCATAATTTATTAAAATCCTATAGTTTAAGAGCTGATTGGCAAATACGTCTGTTTAATGTGGCGTTTGAATCTGTACAAATATAAAAATGTTGGAAAAAATATTACGAGTAATTTATCTCCTTTTAGCGTAAATTAACTTAAACTTGACGCTTTCAAAAGCTTAACATTTTCAGCAACTATCGTTGTAATGTAAATCCAACAATTGTCTTTTTAGCAAACAAGCAAATAACGGCCGAAAAAAGTTATTTTTAATGGCAACAATTTTGTTGTGCCATCAGCTCCTAAACTAAACCTCAAACCTTAACTTATTTATAACCAATTTAATGTAATTGTGCGTGGAAGTGAATTTGGGTCCAAAGTTATTTTTGTATCTTTCTAATTAGGGGTCATCCATAAATTACGTGATATACATGATTATTGGAGCCGCCTTTCGTCCTTGTCACATGGGTTCTCCCTCACCTCTCACTAGTGTGACGTCACATATTGTTAGTTTTGTTTTTATAGCCAGAACTGCCTAATTGCACTCAGTAGTTCTTGGAAATAAAAGCTAATAACCTTTTAATAGACATTTTGTAGACCTCCTCCACTGTTTAACAAATGACTTGGTTAATGGATGACCCCTTATTTATTAGTTTTCGCACAACCTGGACATTGCGACGCTGCGACCTTTAAAACTTGAAGATTTTACCAACGCAAAGGTATTAAAAATAATTTATACAAAGATATAATTAATAATCTTTTATTCTTTATATGTGTGGTGAATTAAATTGTTCGTCTAAGGCTAAGCGCACACTATGAGTTTCAATCGCGCGGCAAAACCCTGCAGTAGCAAATCCTTGTTTGGACTGCGTCGACTTCGCTTTCATGTACGTGCAATTAAAACCATATTGTTACGGTGCTGTGTGGCGACATAAAATGCTCATAGTGCGCGCTTAACCTAAGGTTTGGCGTACAGTTGCTATAATTCGCATAACTATATGTATCCTTCGTTTTCTTCTTAAAAAGGAAGTGTGTGACATAAGGCTGGGGAAGACGCGCTATTTAATTTCACCAATGAGCGCAAACGGTCGGCCGTCAAATGGTAGATGAGACGACAACTGCACCACATTATGTCTTTTATTCTATATTATTTTCACCACACAGTACAGCGTGTAAGTGGAAGCGATACAGGCAACGAAAGAGATGATGCCCTACATTTCCCTCTGTCTCTATTTAGCTAATCTGCGATTGACTACTTATCAACCCCTCATATTCCCAAGCCAGTCAGCTACGGAGCTCGGCTAGAAAGAGATAGAGGGGACTATCTATTATCCATCTCTCTCGTTGCCTGCAAGATTGAGGGTCTTGTTCCCTCTAGGTTATATTTCTATGATTTTCACCGTAATGGTGTGCAGGTATACCCAATCCTGAAACGGCGTAACTATAAGTATGCCGGATGAAATTTTTAAAATGTATTTTATTAAATAAATTTGCGATTTGTAGCGAGTGTGTCCCAAGCCTTACAATTGTCGCAGTGTCATAATTATATATGTTTAGTTTTGCCAGCAACAGTAAGAAAGGATAATATTTGATTTGTCTTATAAAATAAGTAATTTTTACTTTAATAAATTAAACTGAAACACTAAAATTGTTTTCATTATTTATTACCTAATTTAACATTTCACAGGATTATAGTTTTAACTATCAAGGTGACTTGACCAGCCTGTTGGTCTTGGGTTCGATTCT